ATTGCTTTCTTCATGACTTATACATGTTCCTATAACTATGAGATTATGCAACTCCCGTTTACCAGAGGAACACTTTGGGTACTACCAAACGTCACAACGTAACTGGGTGATTATAAAGGAGTACTACAGGTGTCTCCAAAGGTACATGTTGGGTTGGCGTATTTCGAGATTAGGTTTTGTCACTCCGATTGTCGGAGAGGTATCTCTGGGCCCTCTCGGTAATGCACATCACATAAGCCTTGCAAGCATTGCAACTAATGAGTTAGTTGCGGGATGATGTATTACAGAACGAGTAACGAGACTTGCCGGTAACGAGATTGAACTAGGTATTGGATACCGACGATCGAATCTCGGGCAAGTAACATACCGATGACAAAGGGAACAACGTATGTTGTTATGCGGTCTGACCAATAAAGATCTTCATAGAATATGTAGGAGCCAATATGGGCATCCAGGTCCCACTATTGGTTATTGACCGGAGACATGTCTCGGTCATGTCTACATTGTTCTCGAACCCGTAGGGTCCGCACGCTTAAGGTTACGATGACAGTTATATTATGAGTTTATGCATTTTGATGTACCGAAGGTTGTTCGGAGTCCCGGATGTGATCACGGACATGACGAGGAGTCTCAAAATGGTCGAGACGTAAAGATTGATATATTAGAAGCATATGTTTGGATATCGGAAGTGTTCCGGGTGAAATCAGGATTTTACCGGAGTACCAGGAAGGTTACCGGAACCCCCCGGGAGCTAAATGGGCCATGATGGGCCTTAGTGGAAAGGAGAAGAGGCAGCCCTACATGGGCTGCGCGCCTCCCCCTTCCCCTAGTCCTATTAGGACTAGGAGAGGTGGTCGGCCCCCTCTCTCTCTTTTCCCCCTCCGCGAATCCTATTCCAACTAGGATTGGGGTGGGGAATCCTACTCCCAGAGGGAGTAGGACTCTCCTGGCGCGCCAAGCTTGGCCGGCCAGCCTCCCCCCCCCCTCTAGTCCTTTATATACTGAGGCAGAGGCACCCCAGAAACACACAAGTTGATCCACGTGATCTATTCCTTAGCCGTGTGCGGCGCCTCCAGCCACCATAGTCCTCGATAATACTGTAGCGGAGTTTAGGCGAAGCCCTGCTGCTGTAGTACATCAAGATCCTCACCACGCCGTCGTGCTGACGGAACTCTTCCCCGACACTTTGCTGGATCGGAGTCCGGGGATCGTCATCGAGCTGAACGTGTGCTCGAACTCGGAGGTGCCGTAGTTTCGGTGCTTGATCGGTTGGATCGTGAAGATGTACGACTACTTCCTCTATGTTGTGTCATCTCTTCCGCAGTCGGTCTGCGTGGGTACGTAGACAACACTCTCCCCTCTCGTTGCTATGCATCACATGATCTTGCGTGTGCGTAGGAAATTTTTTGAAATTACTACGAAACCCAACAGATAGCATCTCGGTGGGAGAGTAGGCTCAAGTCATGGGGCTGTTGTTGCATTGGATAGGTGTGAAATTGCACGGTGGTCTTATCTCTCCGGACCGACATGGTTGTACTGAGGCATCACCAAGGTAATGCTACCATTGTACATGTCCTGATTAGATTGGTTTGTGCTCTCTTTGATGATTTGCGCTTTGTTTGTGCTCCCTTTTATACTTTGCAGTTTGGATCTTCCTGAATGGGTATTGGTCCCGACTAGTACTTCATTTTGGATCTTCCTGGTTCCTTGTTCTGTTTCTGATCACTCCCCGTTCCTAATCCCTAGCTATACTTTTTTTCAAAAAGAGGGAGATCCCGGCCTCCGCATCAGAACGATGCATACGGCCACATTTATTACTAAGCAAAACAGTTCGACAGGGGTCTTAAAGTCTCAAGTAAAAGAACAAAAGAAGCTCACAAAGAGCTAAAAAGTATAAATAAAGCCACAACTGGCTGGCAAAATAAAGATAGAAAAACTAATTGCCTATCCTATTACATGATCGCCATTCAAACTGGTTGAAAATAGCCCGTGCTACCATCTCACATCGGATAGATCCAATAACCAAACGCTCCCTGGCCTCCTCGGAGTGAGTAGCGACCACATACTGATCAACGCAGTGGCACGGAAGATAACCTGCAAAAAATGAGTATTTGTTGTTCTATTAAAGACCAAATCATTTCTGCAATTCCAGATAACCCATAATAAAGCACATACTCCTACACGAATATGTCTCGCTATTTCGAAATCTAACCCATCAAGCCACGTCCCAAATAACGTGTTGATATTATTCGGAGGAGTAATATTAAAGGCTATGTGAATTGTCCGTCATAAAATTTTTGCCAACGGGCAATCAAGAAAGAGGTATTTGATGGATTCATCCCAATCATAAAAACTACATCAAGTAGATCAAGTCCAGTTGCATTTTACCAAGTTATCCTTAGTGAAAATGACTTGTTTGTGTACAAACCACATAAACACTTTAACTCTCAAGGGTACTTTGACATGCAAAACATGTTTCGAAGTAGGAATAGAGCTAGAATTAATAACATCCAGATACATGGATTTAACCGTAAACTATCCATTCCTAGTTAGCTTCCAGCATAACTAATCGGGTTGTTGAGAAAGCTGAACATCCATCAGTCTTCTCACAAGATGGAGCCAAACTTTCCAACGGTTTCCGGCTAGCGCTCTCCTGAAATGAATATTGAGAGGTGTGAACTGAAACACTGTCTCAACGGATGCGTCCCTCCGTTGATCCCCAGCTATACCTGATGCATATAGTGTCCGGCTTTGTGATCTCCCTCTTTCATGATATATTTAGGTGTTCTTTGAGGCCTCTTTTAGTAACATATATTCAGGTGGGGAAATTACAGCGGACGTTTTGCCAAAAATTTAAATTAAATTCTGAAATAATTTAAATCCAAAATATGCATGTTTACAGCTGCCTAATTTTACATTTAACAACCGAAAAAAATTATTGTTTCTTCGGTAGTATGAATAATTTTGGCCACAAGTTGCACCGGGGGTAAAACGGTCATTCAAGTGTCATTTAAACCGTTAGTACTTAAAATGGACGGAGTATCACAAAAGCAATAAATTTTAGAGGTAGTGTTAGATGAGGAAGAAAAAGGTTTCATGTGTCAAACTGGCCAAATATATCGGTGTTAAATAAAGAATTCTCTCTTTCAAAAAAGGCCAGATGTACCCAGAAAAAAATGGCCGGAATTGTCAATTTTCACGGGAGGCAAAAAAAAAAGAAGACAGCACAGGAGGGAAAGAATATAGACACGGGCGAAACGCGAGACGGTTGGAACCTCCGCCACGCCACCGCGTGCGTCACGAGCTGGCTCGCCGGTTCTCCCTCGCGGCCGCGTCCACGAATATTCTGGGCTCCTCCAGCGCGCGCAAGAAACCGCCATGCCCAAAACTTCCTCCATGACCATGCCCCGCCGTATATAAGCCGGGTCGCGTCCCCTCTCTCCCTTCACCAAGCCGAGCAAGCAAGCAAGCAAAGCCAATTGATTGATTGAAGCAAAGTCACAGAGCGAGCGTGCGTGCGTGCAAGAAAGCATCGGCCACCGGAGCTGCTGCAGGAGGCCAGGAATCACCCCCGTCTCCAGTCGAGCATGGACAAGGTGCTGGCCTTCTCCATCCTGAGCGCGTCGCCGGCCGACGTCGCCCCCGGCGCCGGCGCCGGCGCTCGGTTCTCCTGGCAGCGGCAGGGGAGGAAGCTGCGGGACGACGGCCAGGCTAGAGCAGGGCGAGAGGGGAAGCGGGGCGGTCTGCCGGCGGAGGCGGAGCAGCAGCCGGAGGAGGGGAAGTCGCGGTCGCCGCCGACGTTGCCGCCGCGGTTCGCGCCGGAGTTCGACGGGATCGACTGCTTCGGGACCATCGTGTGCCACTGAGCAGTGAATCAGAATCACGGGCTGCTCGTGGTCTGGCCGCGCGCCTGGGTGGGACTAATTATTTCTTCGTTCGATCACCGTGCGATCGGCGTGTTCATTTGCTGTCAACTTGAGCTTCCAACTGATGCCGCGTGTTGTACAGAATACAGAGGTATAAAGAAACCAATTTCACCGTGATTATTTGGAGATGAGCTTTGATTTTTAAGGCTCGATGTCATGACGGAGCAGAGATGTTCAGTAAAGGCAACATCTGCATGAGCAACAGTGACGTTTCAGGCGATCAAAGCCATTGAGCGAGCAGGCGAACTGAGTTTATGTCTGAAGATACCGACACTTTCGTCAGTTAACTGAAATAGACTCACCACCCCCGCAAGTTCAGATTACATTCATAGTCCAACAGAGAAACATCTCTGCCTAGTTCCTTGTTCTGTTTCTGATCACTCCCCCTTCCTGATCCCCTGCTACACCTGATGTCCCTAGTGTCCGGCTTGGAGATCTCCCTTTTTCTTGAATATATTTAGATGTTCTCTGAGGCCTCTTTTATTGAATATATTCAGATGGGGAAACCCGGTGTTGTCCCAAATTCATTTTGCTCCCGCACGCTTATTATATGACATTCCAACGCGCACAAATTCCGCATGGAACATCAGCACAATTTGACACCAGATGTTGACTCCAGACCAAGGCAAATCACTAAAACCATCAACTTCATCTCAGGCACCATCAGAGACTAATCGAGTAAAGTTCATGGCAAGAACTGAAATTCAGAATATGATCACAGGGAAACATCTGATGAAGCGAGCTTACCAAACTGAAACAGAGCACTAAACCATTCGCTGAAAACTGAAATTCAGAATTGAGACAGGGAAACATCTCTGCAAGTTCACAGTCGTCGTCCACATAGATTTACAGAGAAAAGCGAGCTTGCACCACAGATCGAACCAAGACAAATTAGCACGAACAGGATCATGGCAAGAACTGAAATAAGCACTGCTACTATTTCTCCAGATCATGAAATATGATCCCACACAAGACACAGCCAGCACAAGTTACAAGAGGACAAAGTCCGAGCAGGAAACTACAGGGCGACATCGATCCATCCACCAGGAAGACACACACAGGGACAGGACCGAATCAGGCGGAGGTGAACTTGGTGACGGCCTTGGTGCCCTCGGAGACGGCGTGCTTGGCGAGCTCGCCGGGGAGGACGAGGCGGACGGAGGTCTGGATCTCGCGGGACGTGATGGTGGGCTTCTTGTTGTAGCGCGCCAGCTTGGCCGACTCGCCGGCCAGCTTCTCGAAGATGTCGTTGATGAAGGAGTTCATGATGGACATGGCCTTGGAGGAGATGCCGATGTCCGGGTGCACCTGCTTCAGCACCTTGAAGATGTAGATCTTGTACGTCTCCACGCTCTTCTTGGCCTTCTTCTTGCCCTTCTTGTCCCCGCCGCCCTCCTTGGACGCCGGCACCTTCTTCTCCGCCTTGGGCTTCTTCCCCGCCGGGGTCTTCTCCACCGGCTTCTTCTCGGCTGCCTTGGGGGCCATGGATGAGGATGCGGATGGGGATGCTTGGGCGGGGAGAGGTGGTCTGTGGTGTGTGTGTGTGTGGATGCGCTTGAAGGTGGGAGGAATGGTGGACGATTGAGGGCGGGGGCGCGGTGGATTTATAGGAGGGGGAGGCGGCCTCTGATTGGTGGAGGGGTGGGTGCCGCGGATCGATAGGATATCTGCCGTCCGTCGCGGGGCGGGGTGGACGACGCAGATGCGTTTTGGCGCGGATCGCTGACGTGGCGGAAAGAAGGTGGGCGGGGAGCGAACGGGCTTCGGCCCACGCGCGCGTGTTGGAGTTTCTCCCTGGCGGGAATTTGAGCCTTTTCTCAAAACATAAATGTTTATCAGTCGACATTTCTTTTGCAGCAAAGCACTTACAGCACTTTTTTTTTCGAAAGTAACGACGCATCACTGCATAGTTCAACTTCATTAGTGAGTCGATTGCAATATATGGAGTTGATCTACTATTACATGTGGGATTCCCTCTTAATTCACGACATTATCCTTAGATTTCAAGACGTGCAAGGCGGTCGAAGAAAAAGATCGCAACTTTATTCGATCCCATGGAGCATGAACATGCTTCAAATTACAAGGTTTATCGGCTTTGTATTGAGAATCAAAACATCAGTGACCATACCAACAAGCAGCCTGGTGCTATCCCATGTTTGATCACTTTTATGCACCGTTTGGATGTTGACGTTGAGGCCCATAATCGAATATTCGCATTTCATCTGGGAAGCACGAATGTCGTTCTTCGACGGAAAAATATTCACTGGATATGTAGGGAGGAGCCCTCACAAGAACCTTCTGGTAATCACTACAGTCTGCAACAGGCCACCGCCAAAGACCGGAGTGGTCGCCATAATGACCAACACCTACAATGGAGCACACCAGCTCACTGCCACCTCATCATAGAAAGCCTTGCACATGCTCGTTGGCCTAGGGGGGCGACATGGTCGGAACACGAGCACCAAAGACAAATCACCCAATAGGGTTGCAACAAATCCTATGGAGTGATGGTCTTTGGCCTCTTGGGCACGCTGGAGTTCCCATCGCCCAATAGGTGGCCACCCGAGTCTTCCTATCGAGTGATGCAGGGGCGGTTATACACGATCTCTTGCCTTGATTTATTATAAAAAAAGATTTTAATACATGTGATTCCAATGTTTACAGACAAATTATAAGATTCCAGTTCATACCATTTCACATTTAAAATAGTCAATATGTCGGACAAAAAACATGTTCGAAGATAACAAATGACCAACCCAAAACACTTATACTATAAATACAAAAATAAAATATCAGAGTGACCCACAATACGACACATTAAAACTCTTGTTCTTGAACAAACAACATCTTTACCAAGCACTAAACATGAAAATCAAGCTTTGCAGCTGAATCTGTACCTGTTCGCACCAAATATATTGATGCGCGCTTTCTTATCTTGAAAGCTTGAATCTGTGACGACACAAGATCATCTATTTCCTTTCGCGTAGTCGAATGATTCTTCAAGGTGCATATTTTGTTTTGATGAACATGAGAGAAGAACAAAGAAGCAAGGAGAGTACGGGAACCATGGCATGGTGAATCATTTTTCCTTATTTATTATATGAGCATTTCTTATTATTTCCCGTTTTCATTGTTCAGGCACCCAATGGAACGAGTATACAACCCCACATGAATAGGTATACCCGCGTGATATATGAACACATTACAGATAAAAGTGAAAATAGAAATCCGTCTATACATCGTCAAATATGCAAATCTTGGCGCAGATGAACATCGCAGAATCTGCGTGCCCCCACACTTACGTTCCCAAAATCCTCACTCGCGTGGGCATTGCTAACATTGTGACGATGCCCAAAATTTGATTTGGGCAAACCCCATGTGTTGGGCACACATGTATGTCACACACTCACACACACTATCGACGTAATTGTGCATAGACACCTCACAAACTTTGTATAATAGAAATCAATGAGGATGTAGTTTTTTTCCTGGGTTTGTAAGAACGACTAATTCTTGC